GAATGGGTGGGTTGCAGGAACAGCATGATCCAGCAGGATTGCTTTTTGCCTGTCAGTGTAGCGAGACCAGACTGAAGCAGGCAAGGCCAAAGCAAGGAGACCAGTGAGGAGAACATGGTGGTAGTCCAGCAAGAGATGATGGTGGCTTTGTCCTGAGTGGCAGTGGTGGAAGTGGTGAGAAGTGGTCAGATTCTGGAGATATTTCTTATTTATTTTTTAAATCCTCACCCGAGGATATGTTTTTGTTTTTAGTTGATTTTTAGAGAGAGAGGAAGGGAGAGAGAGGAACATTGATGCAAGAGAGAGACATTCATCAGTTGCCTCCCGTATGCACCCCGACCAGGGATCAGACACGAACCTAGATATGTGCCCTGACCTGGAATTGAACCCACAACCTTTTGATGTACAGGAAGATGCTCCAACCAACTGAACCACCTGGCCAGTGTTGGAGATATTTTCAGTGTAGAACCAATAAGATTTGGGAATGGATTGGATGGGGGGAGGGGGGGAGGGAAAGAAAGTAAAGATGGATAGGGACAGGGAAGATTACAACTGGAGCACGTATTAGGGGAAGATCATGGGTTCATTTGGGGGGGTGGTTATGTTTGTGATGTTTGCTAGACTTTTAAGTAGAGACAAGGAGGCAGGGCTTTGAAGTCAGAGGCAATGGAGGAGAGGAGGAAGCAGTGAGGAGAGAAATCAGAGGACTGTTAGCCACTCTGACTGGTCAGGTAAGAGAAGAGTGAGCATAGACCTTGAGATTTGGGGGATGGTCCCCTCCCCCACTGTAGCCTCAGCCCAGGGCTTAGTTTGACAAAAGAGGTGTAACCACTTCCCCATGGCTGACCTAGTTCTTTCTTTGCTCTTATTGGCCATGATTACACTCAGTCTCCTACAACTTTGGGTTTGTGAGATGGGTCCACTTTGATACACACAGCTCTAGATCAAGGGTCAGTAAACTAAGGCCCTCAGGCCCAATCTGTTTTAGCAAATAGTTTCATTGGGCTACAGCTATGGCCATTCCAGTTGTTTAAGGCTGCTTCCACACTCCAGCAGAACTGAGTGGTTGCCAGGAACCATATGGCCTGCAAAGCCAAAAATATTTACTGTCTGGCCTTTTAAAAGGAAAGTTTGCTGACTCCTTCCCTCCCCCTTTCACTGTAACAGTGTGTAGTTCTGTTAAAGGAATACACAAGATATTTAATTGGACATTTAGGTGGGTCCCAATTTTTTTGCTATTATGGAAATGCTCCAATAAACATGTATGTTTTTTGGGGGCTTGTGCACCTGGAAGTGGAATTACTAGTTTGTAAGACACGGGAATCTTCAGCTTTAGTAGATTTTGCCAAATTGCTTTCCGATGTGGTTGAAATGATTTACACTCCTATAAGCAGTGTAAAAAGTTCCCATATCTTGCCCGGCCAGGCGTGGCTCAGTGGTTGAGCATCGACCTAGGATCCAGGCGATGGGGGTTCGATTCCCGGTCAGGGCACATGCCCGGGTTGCGGGCTCAATCCCCAGTCGGGGACGTGCAGGAGGCAGCCGATCAATGACTCTCTCATCATTGATGTTTCTATCTCTCTCCCTCCCTCCCTCCCCTTTTCTCTCTCTGAAATCAATAAAGATATATTTTAAAAAAAAAAAAGTTCCCATATTTCTCTAAAACTTGGTATCGTGTTGTCAGACTTTTTTAGTTAGCTTTTTTTTTTTTTTAAAGAAATATGTCTGTTGATTTCAGAGAGAGGAAGGGAGAGAGAGAGAGAGAGAGAGAAACATCAATGATAAGAGTCACTGATCGGCTGCCTCCCACATGCCCCCGACTGGGGATCGATCCTGCAATCCGGGCATGTGCCCTAGCCAGGAATCAAACCTCCACCTCCTGGATCCTAGGCTGATGCTGAACCACTGAGCCACACAGGTTGGGCTAGTTAGTTCTTAATTGTTGGTAGATTCCTTCAGTTAGTCTGGCTGTGAATGATAGTTTTGCTCCCATCTTTTCCTTGTCTTGGTGTTCTGGCTGGACCTCCATACAACACTGCACTTTGTTCAGTGAAAAAAATTTAAATTTCCTGGTTTTAAAGGGAACAATGCTTAACATTTTCTCTTATACTATGGTGTTTGACCATTAAGTATATTGGCTGCAGGTTAGGGTTTTTTTGGCGGGGGGGGGGAGAACTCACCTAGAAAACCATTTGGGACTACTTTTTTGAGGTATATGACTATTTCTTTTTGAATTAGTCTTGCAAATTATCTTCCTAGAAACTGTCCATTTCATCTTACGTTTTAAATTAATTGGCTTAGAGTTTGTAATCTTATTTTTGTCATTTCTCATATATCTGTAGTTATGTCCCTTTTGCAATTATGCTTATTTTATTGGTCTTTTCAAAGATCTAGCTTTGCTTGTGGTCCATACGAATTTTTTTTTTGGTATTTCATCCATTTTGCTCATTATGATCTTCCTTCACTTTCTTTGGATTTACAGTTACTCATTTTTTTAAAATTAAAAATGTTTTTTAATCCTCACCTGAGGATATTTTTTTTTATTGATCTGAGAGATCGAATGAGAAAGAAACATTGATCGGTTGCCTCCTGTATATGCCTCAACTGGGGATCGAACACACACCTGGGTATGTGCCCTGACCAGGAATCAAACCTGCCACCTTTTTGATGTAGGGATGACACTCCGGCCGACTGAGCCACCTGGCCAGGGCTTATTCCTTTTAAAAATTCTTTAACACTGCTCATGAATTTTCCATATTTCTTCTTACTTAGTAATATTATAAATTTTCTAAATGCAGCTTACTATGAGTAAGCTTACTGTGAGTTTTTATAGGTATTCTCAGTTTTGGTTTGATCCAAACAGTTTTCATTTCTATATGATTTTCTCTTTCGGTAATAAGATTTTTAGAAGAACGTTTAAATGTTCAGACATCTGGAGCCTACTTTGCTCGTGTCTGGTCAGGGAATATGGTCTGCACGAAATTGATTAGCTGATATATGTTGAGATGTGTCTTGGGGTCCCATAGATCATTTTTTGGTGAATGTTTCTTGTGTGCTTGAAGGTCACATATTGGGCTGGGTTCATGGTTCTATCAGGGCCCATTGATCAGGATTATTAATAGTATTAAAATCTATATTTTTTAGGCTGTTTGGTCTATCAGTTACTTAAATCTCCTACCATGCTACAGGGTTTAGCAATTTTTCCTTGTATACTGTCACTTTTGCTTTATACATTTCCAACCCTTTTTATTCCTCACCCAAGGGTATTTTTTTTCCATTGCTTTTCAGAGAGGGAGGGAGGGAGGCAGGGAGGGAGGGAAAGAGAGACATTGATGGGTTGCCTCCCGCAACAGAGGTACCTGCCCTTGGCTGGAATCAAACCTGGGACCCTTCAGTCCGCGCAGGCTGGCGCTCTAACCACTGAGAAACCAGCCAGGGTCATTTTCAACCTTTTTAAAACCTCTAACATACAAGTTCAAAATTGTTATATCTTTCTTGAAAGTTGTTCTTTTCATCATTTTGTGGTGTCCCTAATAATGACTTTTGCCTTAAAGCTTATTTTGTCTGATTTTCCTATAGATATATATCTCTTGGTTTTTCTAAAGCATACCTTTTCCCCCCCATTTTTAAACTTTTGGTGCCCTGCGGTCTTAACTGTCCCCTGGTAAATAGCATAGAGCTGCATTTTATTTTTCTTGGCTAATCTGATCATCTGTTTTAACAGATGAATGTAAAACATTTCCTACCTCTGGTTTGGCACCATTTCTATACCATTCCTTTTTCTTTCCTGCCTTCTATTGTAATACCCTTTACTAACCTTTTCTCTTTTCTGTATTAGAAGTCACACTTTCTATTTTTATTCTTTAGGTGATTCTTTTTTAAATAAATATTTTTATTGACTTTTTTGAGAGAGAGAGGAAGGGCGAGGGAGGGAGAGAAACACTGATGTGAGAGCAGAACATCCGTTCAGCTGCCTCCTGCCCGCCCCCTACTAGGGATGGAGCCTGCAACTGGGGCAGGTGCCCCGACCCGGAATCAAACCAGCAACCTTTTGGTGCACTGGACAATGCCCAACCAACTGAGCCACCCTGGCCAGGGCCTTTTAGTGATTCTTGTCTGAAATACATGCTTGGCTGTACAAAGCTGGGCAATTGCCACCGTTATCCCCCTCCTGTCGAGTAAATCCAGCTTCTTAGGACACCTGAGCTCTGGTCACCCTCTCCTGTCCTACCTGCCAGCGTGTCCCATGCTCCTTGTTTTGCATTCCACAAATTAATCACCACTACTCATGTTCCAGTTAAGTGCTTGTTTAGATGACTTACTTGTTTACCAGTCAGCTGCTCATCATTTTCCCATCTAATTTCTTGTCCTTAGAGTTCTGCAAATTCACTACGAAGTGCCTAGGTCCTGCTTTTATTTTCATTTATCCTGCTCTGGATTTTATGTGAGGATCCTGGTCTCGAACCAATTTTGGAAACTCTTCTTAAGGAACTGCTTCTACCATGTTTTCCTTTTCTCTTCTGGAACTCTGACTGGACATGCGCTTCCCTTTACCTTTCCAGTCCCTTCCTCTCTCACGTTTCGCCACCTGCCACCTTGTTTCTCGTTAGTGGCTTCTGATGCTCCTCCAGTTCGGGACTTCTCCGCTGCGGCCAGTCTGCCTGCTGGCCTCGTCCTTTGAGACTTGAATGCCAACAGCTTTATTTTTCAATTCTAGGGATTTCTTTTGAAAGCTGTGTTCTTTTTAGGGACCTGCTCCTTCATGTTTTGATTTCGCCCACCCCGCCTTTTCCATTCTCTAACCATAAGCCGCGAGGACGACTTTTTGGCTCACGGTCGTCCTCAGGGCCTCATATGTCCCGGGAACCAGCGGCTGAGGGCTCGCTGTCGGGCGGCAGGACCTGCGGGAAGGACGGGGCCGAGCCGCAGCCTGGCCCGCGACGTCCCGGCTGCGAAGCCGCGAGTCCCTCCCTCAATGGTCGTGGTCTTCCAGCCTCTGCTCATCCGGGGCCTGGGGGAGAGGGGCCGCGCGCAGGCCATGACGTCACGCGACTGTGACGAGCGCCGGGAGCCACCGCCCCTTCTCGGTGCGGGCCGGGAATCCAGGCTCTCTGCGCCCTGACGTCACGGTCCGGACGGGCGGGTTTTGCGTCGGCCCAATGGGAGCAGCGCGCCGGCCTCCCCTTTAAGGAATGTTGTGACCTGACGTCACCTGAACGAGTTACCTCCCGGAGCCTCCACCGCTGGGCTCAGCGTGAGCCCCAGAGCCCTTGAGCGCGAGGTGCGGAGCCCCGGGAGCCCCTCTACCGCAGCCACTTCCCCGCCCGGGAGCCCCGGCCTGCGCGCCCCGCCGGGCCCGCGAGATGCCCTCAGATCGGCCTTTCAAGCAGCGGCGGAGCTTCGGTGAGGCCCGGGG